ATTGGTTTTCACTAGGTTTTTGAAGTTTTCTCTAAACAAACATTGCCGTCGGGCTTGATTGGATGTGGAGCACAGATGTCAGTGTATGTGCTGCAGATTTTGAAACTACGGGAACAGAATAAGAGAACAGAAATCAATCGAGTGAGAAAGGTAGTGTAACACTTTTGGATAAGGGTTTTGATATTTGCTTTCTACTTGAAAGACACATCACTAGATTGAATTCATCAAGTAAATTTTCAGAAGTCCAGGAGGTGACGCTGTTTCTTGGGTATTGCTAAAAGACGCGAACACCCACGAACACCCCAAAATTAAAATCTGAGTTAGCCAATCGATAGAGCTCATCGAGCTGAGTATAGCAACGCCTAACGAACAGCCAAATAACGTTTTTATTGTTTCGCTTTATTACTGTTTTAGACATGCATCAAGTAAAAACACTCTTAAAACTGTAAAATTACATGAAAAAACACTAAAATTTTGACAATAAAAGTATTATTCTTATTCAACAAAGGTATTATTATTATTCAGATATTAAAAGTGAAGTTTAAATTGCTAAGAAAATTATCCATACATCGTTTTCGTTTCTTATGCGAACAGTATGTGACTTCTCGAATTCGGACTATATGGCGTGATCATCGAGGAATCAGAACAAAGAAAACGAATAAATACATTCTGGAAAGCTTTTTCACCAAAGGCACCCTTCAGAAAAATGGGAAATGTGTTGTTCAAGTTTATTATCACTAGTTATAGCGTCATTCAATTAAATTTGATGGATAGTTGACGTCATTTAGAAACCAACTACTGCTCACTCAATCAAACAGTAAGAGAATTGACAAAAACAAAAAAAGTAATTGAACAGATAATATTCAATCAAATTTTACACGTTCATTAAAAACTAGCACTTACGACACAGGTCAAAATGTTTATGCATATTTCGATAAAGCTAAGCAAGAGATATTAAACAAAGAAGGTAATACAACCTAATTTTCAATACAACCTTTCTTTGAATTCTGGAATTATATTTTCCCCAGAACTATGGTACAAAAAATCGTCTATGAAACAAATCGTTACGCTGAAACTATGTCTAATACTTCGAATCCTCGTCAACTGTATTCACGTATAAACAAATGGCAGCCAACGAGTATCGAAGAATTTAATATTTTTCTTGCTCTACTGATATTGCAAGGAATAATTCGCAAGCCAGAACTTCAGATATATTTCACAACTGATGAACTTTTAGCTACACCTATTTTCAGCAAAATACTAACTGGTGATCGATTCCTGATGTTACTCAAGATGTTACATTTTGAAACGGATGAAGGTTCTGATGCCAAATTGAAAAAGATCTGGCCAGTTATCGAAGGTCTACGTTCATCATTCAAAGATTATATAAACCCGGAAGATTCTTATGCGTTGACGAAAGTTTGCATTTGTACAAGGGTCGTTTATGGTGGAAACAGTTTATTCCTTCCAAAAGAGCACGATTTGGATTCAAGTTCTATATGATATGTGATAAAAATGGTTATGTTCTTGACTTTATCATTTATACTGGTCGTGATATTAATTACAAGGAAAAATTCTCTAATTTATCTTTATCAAGTCGAATAGTAATGACATTGGTGGAAGATTACTTAAACTTGGGACATTGTATTGCGATGGATAATTATTCTTCATCAAAACTCTTTATTGAACTCGTAAAACGAAAGACAGACGCAGTTGGGACTGTTCGACTCAACCGCAGAGGTCTTCCGATTGCTTTTCGACGTACTAAACCTGAAAAGAATGAAAGAATCGTTCGATATTATAAAAAAGTAATGGCTCTGAAATAGGGCTGTGACAGTTACCAGTTACTGTTACCACCGTTACTCGATAACTGTAACGCTAATGGTAACTGTCACAGCCCTACTCTGAAATGGTTGTATAAGAAATATGTTAACATACCACGCATACCCACCCTCACCCTCTCAACATACCACAAAGATGACATCACAATTATTCATAAGAGAGGTACACAAATTGAAAAACCAACATGCGTGCACGAGTACAATGTTACTAGGGGTGGGATCGATATGACCGATCAACAAATAGCTCCTTACTGCCTTCCTCGAAAGAGAATGAAAAAATATTACAAAAAAATGATTTTATTGGATTTAGCTGTACTGAATTCTTATCATTTATATAAAATACAGACTCATCAGACAAACGATATCATGATGACACAACTTCGATTCCGTATAGCACTTGCTCGTTCTTTATTGGAATACAATTTACATGATCATCTTCCGAATCAAGTAGTTAGAAGAGGTCGACCATCAATTGAACCTACACCAATACGGTTAGTTGGACGCCATTTTCCGTCTATAATTCTTCCAAACTCAAATAGGGAACGTTCAAGACGACGATGTTTTGTTTGTAGTCATACAGGAATTCAGAGCAATCGAAGACGACGTGAAACAACATACGAATGTTCGGTTTGCAACGTTGGACCTTGTGTCGATCCATGTTTTCGTATCTATCATACTGTACTAAACTTTTGATCAAAACGTTCAATTTTCAAAACACTCACAGAAAGAAATGTTTTGCTCTTTCTTATTAAAAAGTAACATCTGTTTTCCATATAAGAATAAAAGATATTTATGAACACAAGGTTTATTAGTCTTAAATAACTGTGAATTTGTAAAAGTTACTGAGTAAAAAGATTTTTAGTTAGTGAAAAAAAATTAACAGTTAAGGGGTTAATGATTTTCTTAGACGTGCCCAAAACAGCCAGTGGTAAGAAAAATCGTTTATTGTTTTCAATTTATCATAAGCATTTGAAAGACAATCGAAATTTAAATAACAGTAATCATAGTAACATTGATAATATAACAACAGATGATATAGAAAAGATTATATTTTGATTGTGTATGAAACAGGAAAAGTATTGATCGATAATTTTGAAATGTGCAAATTGTTAAAGCAAAATAGTATTTATAAATTAAAACAGTTATGCGCATATATAATTCACCATGATCAAGCAATGTAACTGATAATACAATAACTGATGGTGACGCTGACAATGAATCAGATACAACCAGTAGTAGTGGAAACCAAG